AAACAAATAACCAAACAGGCGCGGTTCCTGGTTGGGCTTTAGAGCTCTGAAGACCAAACAGCAACATCTTGCTCAACACTGATCCAGGCGCGTAGCGTTCGGCTTGGGCTTAGCAGTTGGTTCGGCCGCTGGGGTTTCGGTGGGCGTGGCTTCCGCCTGGGCTTCCTCCTGGAGCATAGAGCTTGTGGGTCAAGAGTTGCAGGATTTAGCAGCCCGCTTTGAGGGTTTCGGTGTCTGTGCTGGATAGCCGGATCTTCAATCCGGCAAAGCCCAAATGTTGCGAGACGCGTACTGTGGAGAAACATACTGAGCATGCACTTGCAGCAGGACTATCGCCGGCCCCTCGTTAGCCCCAAAGGCTAGTGCAAGAGCTCCCGTGATGAATTACTTTGGTCCCGCTGTCCTTCCCTGCCGCGTTGTCTTCCGGTGTGGCATCGGGGATCACGTCGGCACTTGCATTGGTGCTTGCGTTGGTGCTTGCGTCAGCTCCTTATTCTGCCAAGAAACCAAACGGAGCTGTAGAACAAAGAGCACCGAAGGGAGCATGAAACTTGCAACTACGCGTTGCTCAGTCCAAAGAAACAACATCAGGATATGCCGCGTCAGGTTTGACAGATTCAGGGCCAAACAAACATAAAGTCCTTTGGAAGACTGGAACTTTTCCTAGACTTTGAATTGGCAGGCCCCTTTCTCTTTCTTCAAGGGGAGCCATGACGTCTGTGCACGAAACGCACGGGTTTACGAGGATGATCAGCTATACAGTGTGGACCTCTGTGCAGCTTTTGTTGATCCTTCCCGCGCTGTGTTCGCCAGGAAAGGCAAAGGCTTTATTGTTGGGAAGTTCGAATTGCGAGACGTACCTGAAAATCCAAACACTCGAAAGCCTTCAATGTATAGAGATCCTAGGGTTATATGAGCAGGCTGTATGGGCCCTTATTAAGTCGATGCGCTTGTTAAGGACAACAAGTGCAATACGGCGCGTAGGCATAGCAATCAGCTCCAGAGGGCGTAGAAACATCACCACCTCCGTCCTGGCGTGGATCATATGAATCCTGACGTCCTAACTCTTGCCGAACCTTGTAAAAGCAAAGATTCCCGCAGGGGCATCGGGCGGCTTGCTGAAGGGATCTGGAGTTCCCTCGGTTCCAGGTGCATCCGCTTCTGCAGCTTCCGCTGCCGGAGCTTCTGCTGCCGGAGCTTCCTCTGCTGGAGCTTCCGCTTCCGGCGCGTCCGCTGCTGCCGGCGC